ACGCAGTCCATCAAGGCGGACAACGGGCGGCTGCGGGAGGAGCTGCTGCGGCTGCTGCGCCGGGCCCACCTGCTGCACGAAATGCGGCGCCAGCTGCTGATGCAGCGCGAGCAGCTGTGGAGCGAGCACCAGGACACGTGGGACCTGGCGCGCGTGCACAATTGGCTGCGCCGGGGGCCCGGGGGCCCGGAGCTGTTTCAGCCGCTGTCCTCCCCGCGCCAGGGGTCCATAGCCTCCGGCACAGACTCCTCCAACTCCCCCCCAGGCTCCTTGTTCGAGCCCTCTCGGAACCCGTCCCGGGTCTCTTCCCTCACTGTCTCCAGGGCCCCGTCAGTTGTCTCACTGCGTGTGGGCTCCACGGTCCCGTCGCTGGTCTCGCTGAAGGCGGGGTCACAGTTGCATTCCCAGGACTGGTCGAAAAGGGACTCCCAAGTCCCCTCCTTGGCCCCGTCCCGCCTGGGCTCCTTGGCCTCGTCCCGCCTGGGCTCCCTGGCCCTGTCCAGCCCCGGCTCGCGGGTCTCATCCTTGACCCAGTCCCTCCATAGCTCCAGGATCCCTTCGCGGTCCTCGTACCGCAAGGCCTCGCAGAGCACCACTGCCTCTGCTGATTCTGTCCCGGGGCCGGGCCAGCCGAAGGAGACCGACGACACTGACAGGGCAGACTGAACCCGCCCGGAAGGAGTCCAGGGTGGAGGAGACGGAGCGCAGGAAGCTAGCTGGTGAGTGCAGTTGTTTATACAAATGTGACACCCCCCCCCCCCACACACACACACCTCTGTGCCCTGCTGCTGCAGCACTTCCTGCCAGCTCCGGGCCCCTGACTCCTTTCCAGGCGGCAAGGTAGCTTGATGTGCCCTCACCCCGAGTCAGCCGGAGCCAGCATCCCTCCCCACCATGGCCGGCCCGGCTGCTCCCGATGGGCCAGGTCCGGAGAAAGTCGGGATGACCGTGGTGGCAGAGACGGCAAGGGGGGGGAGGGGGGATGGGAAGGTGGCCAGGGCAGAAAAGGAGCCTGGGTGCGTGGCTGTGCCTGTGGTCAGGAGGGCCAGTGTCGGCCACCGATTGTGTTTAAGCTCCTGGGGGGGTTGGGTAACTTTTTTTAAAAAAAATTGTAATTTCAAATGTAGAGAAAAGTTGCAAGACTAGTACAGAGAAGTCTCGTATAGCATTTATCTAGATTCACCAGCAGTTTGCTTTCTACCTCTTTGGTGTGTGTGTGTGTGTGTGTGTGTGTGTGTGCGTGCGCCCCACCCCCAAACATTTCAGATTAGGTTCGCTAGGTGGTGCCCCTTCACCTCTGGGTCCTCATAGTGTTTCCTGAGGACAGGGACATTCTCCATCGCTGCAGCCCAGTGACCGGTCCGGAGGTCAGTGGGGAGAAAATAGTCCTTGCGCGTCCTCACTTCACATGCAAGGGTTGTCAGCTGCCCCCGCAGTGCCCTGTGGCCACCCGTCTGCCAGCGTTTGCCACATTCAGTTGTCAGTCCCCGTGCACAGGCTGGTGAAGATGTCCCTGAGGTGGTGTGCATATTCCTCGGTGGCTGTGCCAGGAGGCCGCCTGGCTGTGGGCGGGGGGAGCAGGCCGCGCACCCTCAGCGCTGGCCCCGGGACAGCGACATCGCCCTGAGCGCAGAGGGAAGGTTAGTCTCCGCTGGTCTTCGGAGGAGAGCGCAGTGATCTGAGCCCGAAGGAGATGACCTTTGGGATGGGCAGGCCTGGGCTGGAACGGGACCTGGGCCGAGTGGCAGGAGTTGAGAGCACAGGTTCACAAGGAAGCTCCTGTTTGTCAGGAGCAGCTAACATGGGGGACCACAGAGGAAGCAGGCGAAACCGGTTGATGTTCAGTATTTTGAAGCAATTATTTTGGACCACAAAGTGTGGTTCGTTTATAGAGGTTGAGTTGCAGTATCAATAGCAGTATTACTTTTCATCCGTTTACTCTATAGTTTCTGAATTTTCTTTCTCATTTTGTGTTTCAGTTGGACTCCTCCCCCATTTCATTCGCCTCTTCTTTTTCAGTGGTTATCTGAGAGATGTCAACATGCACATTTAAGCTCATGATTCATGAAGAGCCCCCAACCCTCCACACACTTTCTGTCTCCATCCCACCTTCCAGGCTTAAGAATCCAACACTCACATCACCCTCAGATCGGCCACTGTTCCTCTTTGTGGAAAGTCATCCCCCTGGGTACTGACATTTGGGACATATTTGTATGTAAGTTACACTTTAATAAGAGTTACTTGGAAAATCTTGCTGCCGGCCCCTCATTCCTCGCACGGCTCTCCGGCTTCTTCCGCTAACCAAGCCGCTCAAGCCCTTGCCAGCCTGGCTCTGGACAGAGCGTCAGTCCACAGACTGAAGGGTCCCGGGTTCAATTTCGGTCAAGGGCATGTACCTCGGGTGCAGGCTCGATCCCTGGCCCTGGTCAGGGCACGTGTGGGAGGCAGCTAGTTGATGTCTCTCACAACCATGTTTCTCTGTGTGTCTCCCCTTCCTTCCACTCTAAAAAATCAATGGAAAAATATCCTCAGGGGAGGATTAACAGCAACAAAAATGTGGGCAAAAGTCGTGAACAGACACATCACGGGATACCAGTGGCAGCACACATGTGAAAAGGTGCTCAGCCCCGCCACGCAGGACGAAATGCAGACACATGTACACGGCTGGGAGGGATTCTGGGTTGGGGGGTGACAGTGGCGTGTGGATGCGGATGTGGAGCAACTGGACCCTGGCACTGTGGCAGGAGGACAAAATGGTAGTCAGTGTGGAGAAATTTGTTGGCAAATTTTTTTTAAGTCACCCGAGCACATGCTTTTATTGATTTTTTTAGAGAAAGGGAGGGAGGAGGAGAAAGAAACATCAATGTGAAAGTGATGCATTGATTGGCTGTCTCCCACACACACTCCAACTGGGGACCGAGCCCACCATCTGGGTATGTGCCCCAACTGGACTCAACCAGCCACCTTTTTTTTTCTTCTTTTTTTTGGGTGGGGAGGGGAGCGGTGCGAGGGCAGGAATGAGTTCCAGTTCCCCTCAGTCAAACCAGCCACCTTTTGGTGTAGGAAGAACGCGCCAACCAACCGAGTCACACTGGCCGGGAATGGCGACTTTTTATCAAGTTAAAAACAGTTATAACAGCAATTCCTAGTCACTCACCCAAGAGAAATAAAGAGGCATTTCCGAATACTTGTACACAAATGTTCATCACAGTTTTATTCTTAACAGTCCAAGCTGGAAACTCAAATTTCTAACAGATGAATAATAAATGATGGTTTATACAATCAAACATGACTCAGCAAAGAGAAGAGCTACTGCAGCTAGAAACTACTCTGGGTTGTCTTTTAAAACATGCCAAAATGAAAAGGAGTTAGACACACAAGATTACATACCATGTGCACCCACTCCTACCACGTCCTAGCATAAGCAAACTTATTACACCGACCGACAGTGGATGTTTGGGGCTGGGGTGGGATTAACTGAGAAACAGCCAAAGGGAACCTTTTGGGCAATAGAAATGTTGCTTCCTGGTTATGACGGTGGTGACAGGGGTACGTTAAAACCACACCTGAAACAGGTGTTTTCACTGTGTGGAAACTGGACCGCAACAAAGTTGGTTAAAATGACCTGGTCGTACCAGTGTCTGCACTGCAGATGGCAAGTTCTCCAGAGAGTTCTGCAGCCCTTTTAAAAGTACTTACTCCCTTGGGGCTTCTGGGATTGCTGAAATTCGTTAACTCAAAATATGACTTCATGGGCAGAAAAACCCAAGAACTTACACAATTTCACAAGTGGGTGTTCTGGTTAATGTTTAGATAAAGGAAATGCAGAGGCAACAACTAATGGCTTCACCAGCCGGTTATCTGTTGTGTAATGAACGTGCCTGCTTCTGAACAGCTCCATGCAACTCCCTGCTTCTGCTCCAATTCCTTCATTCCACCTTCTCCAGCTGACAAACGTCTAATCTCCGTGGACCAGTTCGGAGGCGGTGTCAGCCACCTCCTTGCGTTCGCTCCTGCACAGCCAGGAACGTGTCTGTTTCCACACGTTGCTCATTGTGCCGTGACCTGGCTTCCCTAGAGACCTGGAATGACCTCAGGTTCCATGTGTCTTTCTCATGTTTTCCCAGGACTTACCACTGGTCTTTACAGGTCAAAACGTTTTCAAGTCATCGACAGAAGGAGCCAGCGAGTAGAAAAGAGAGAAGAGTTGAGTTCAGGCCTGGACTGCTTAGGTCATGTGCTGGGACTCTGCCCTGGAGCGAGCCAGAAAGATGCACAGACAACTACGTGCAGACAGTGCTCCGAAGCCGGGGCCTGGCCATGGCTGAGCTCAGCAGCAACCTGAGGGCACGGGCTTACCCTGGCCACCACCTGTGACTTCTGGCTTGAGGGCGAGCAGACATGGACTGGGCGCAGAAGGCATTCCCAGCAGCCCAGCAGGTTACACTTTACAAAGCAAGGACAAAATCCAAGCGTTTTAAAATAGCAGCAAAAAGGGACAAAGCTGGAGAGGCACCACTTACACAGGTATGGGGTGGGCTTCTTTTATTGTCCTGCGCTAGACACCAGGGACACAAATCAGTCAGATATAACTGTCCACAAAGAATCAGCAGTGCAATAATGAGACATATATAAAGACACAATTCTTATATATCAAAGTAAATGCAGTAACAGGGTGAGAATGACGACTGAAGCCCAGCAGTGGAAGAGGCTGAGCCTGACACGATGCCGGGGTGAGTAGCCAGGGGAGGAGAGGGAGAGCGTTCGAACAAGGACGGAGGCCAGGGCGCAGGGACAGCCTGGATCCGAGGAATGTCCGTTAGTGCTGCTGCAACACTGAGTGAGGTGGTGGGAGACGAGGCTCCAGGAAGCAAAAGACCTTAGGATGCAGGGAGGGAGCTCAGAATGTGCCCAAGGACCACAGGGAAGCCCCCGTGGTTCTCCGACTGCCTGCTGATCAATCTCAATTGCTCCATCAACTGTTTAATGAGTGGGCACATCGTTCTCTAAGGGGACTTAACCCGGGGGCGAGCTATGATTGTGCAGGAACATCTAGAGACCTAGCTCCTGGCCCCACTGTTCCAGCTCAGGCAGCGGTCTTCAGGTGGCTCTCCTGAGGACACAGGTTCCTGGCCGAGGTCAGTCCAGCGTGGCTGCACACACAGGTGGCAGCCCACTCCTAAAGCAGCCCCAGCCGTGATTCTGGAAAATGCTGGCATGTCCAAAGGCATAGGAGCCACAACACTCATGCCACCGCTTGCAAACATCGCTGACCTGGAGAATAATTATAAGTCATCTGTGCGACCCCCTTGACTTACAGATTTCTCACCCACATGTGCGGGGGTCTTACTCAAGGGAAGCCCCTCTTGAGTAAGACCTTGATTATTTTTAAAGTTCGGGTTAGAGTGGAAATCTTTCCCATATTGACTACAATCGTACAGTTTCTCTTCAGTGTGAATTTTCTGGTGCTGAAGGAAGTTTGACCTCTGAATAAACCCTTTCCCACAATAACTACACACATAGGGCTTCTCTCCAGTATGAATGATCTGGTGTAGAAGCAGCTTGGAGCTCTGGATGAAGGCTTTCCCACAGTCCTTACATTCAAAGGGCCTGTCCCCCGTGTGGATTTTCTGATGTTCGGTGAGATGAGCTTTCTGGAGAAAAGCTTTGCCACACTCCTTGCATTCGTATACCCTCTCTCCAGTGTGAATTTTCTGGTGTCGAATAAGGTATGAGCTCAGGAAGAAAGCTTTCCCACATTCATTACATTCGTAGAGTTTCTCTCCAGTGTGAATTCTCTGATGCTGAGTAAAGTTTGACGTCTGGCTGAAGCGCTTCCCACACTCGTTGCAAACATAAGGCCTCTCTCCAGTGTGGATCCTCTGATGCTGAATAAGCTTTGAGCTCCTGATGAAGGCTTTGCCACACTCGTTACATTCAAAGGGCCTCTCTCCGGTGTGAATTCTCTGATGTTCAATGAGGTCTGAGCGATGACGGAAGGCCTTTCCACATTCCTTACATTCATACTGTTTCACTTCTGTGTGGATCTGATAATGTCGAATGAGGCTTGAGCTCCTAATGAAGGATTTCCCGCATTCATTACACTCATAGGGCCTTTCTCCTGTGTGAATCCTTTGATGTCGAATGAGTAGTGAACTCTGACTAAAGCCTTTCCCACATTCTTTGCATTCAAAAGGCCTCTCCCGGGTATGGACGCGCTGGTGTCGAATCAGGTCTGAGCTGTGACAGAAGCCTTTCCCACACTGAGCGCACTTGAAGGGCTTTTCTCCTGCGTGTGCTCTCTGATGCTCAATGAGACCTGCATAGTGAGCGAAGTCTTTCCCACAAGCGTTGCACACGTAGAGTCGTTCTCCGGTGTGAACACTCTGGTGCTCGACAAGGTGGGAGCTCTGGCTGAAGGCTTTCCCACACTGGTCACCTCTGTAAGGTTTCTCCCCGGTGTGAGAAATCTGATGTCTAACTAGGTCCGCAGTAAACGGGAAGCTTTGGCCACAGGTCCCACATGGGTGGGCTTCCCCTTCCGTAAGCTCTCTCTGGAGGAGGAGGAGGTCTGAGCTCAGGACGGGGCCGCCTCTGCACGCACGTCCCACCTGGACGGCCTCTCCTGTCTGGATCTTCCAGTGAGTTACTGTCACCGGCTTGCGGCCTCCCTCCCGAGACGGGGGGCTCTGCCCTTCCAGGTTTCCCAACAGCCCTCCTAATCCTGGTGCAGAGACCCCCCCAGACTCAGGGGCAGGGGTCCCCATCACTGTGCGTGTTTCTGACAGTGTCCTGTGCGGATTTCCATTCTCAGAAATGCAGACGCCAGAGGCACCTTCTCATCACCAGTTCCTACATCAGAATCTGAAATAAAACAGAGTAAGATCATCTTCCGCCTCCTTAATAGGCAGGAATCCGCTGGAGCGGGTGGGGCTGAAACACACGTCTACCGAGAGGAAAGTGTCCTCTGCTCACACTCGACCCAACGCACGTCCCCCACACACTCGTCTCACCCCAAACAGCTCCCCACTTGGGAAGGCTTCTTTGGGGCTCCACCATCCAACCCCAGAGGACAGACGGTTGGGTGGCCAATGGGTAGGGGTAGGGCTTGAACTACCAAAATCAAGATGTATTTCCAAAGACACAAATAGAACAGTCTTACCACCTCTTTGATGTCCCTTATTCCTTCATGTCCTCCCGGTTCTGAACCAGTGAGGCAGGTGAAGAGCGAAACGTTCCCTCCTCGCCAGCTTAGCCCCCATGTCAGTGTGTCACACATTCTTTCTGGTTATGTATTAAAACCCTTTTCGGGCATCGCTTCTCAGACTTTCGGCACTTTGGGCCAAGATCCAGTGTAAAACTATTCTCTCCATATCAACCCCGACGCCTGCCCCTTTCGTCCTCTATCAGACCTGCACGGGGAACCCGCTCGGGTTGAATTCCACTTGCTTCCTGTCTCTGTATGCATTGCTGCTGAGCTCTCTACATTCTTTTTGTTGTTAATCTTCACCCGAGGGTACTATTTTCCATTCTTTTTTTTTAAGAGAGTGGATGGGGGGGGGCGGGGGGGGGACACGACAAAAAGAGAAACATTGATGTGAGAGATATTGATTGGTTGCCTCCCCACACACCCAACTAGGGCCAGGGATCAAACCTGCAACCCAGGTACATGCCTTGACTGGGAATCGAACCCTCAACCTTTTGGTGTATGGGCCATTGCTCCAAACCACCAAGTCACACCAGCCAGGACTGAGCTCTCTACCTGCTCTTTACAGTGTAAAATATTTATATTTAGAATTAGGCAGCTGGACTGTTTAGATGATTCCAACTTTGTTGGCAACATCTAAAGCACCACAGTCAGGAGCCAGTCGAACACATGCCTGCGACTGTGGGAAGCCACCCTGGTGCCACCAGGGAGCCTGGCTGGGATGAAGGGTGGCCAGTGGGCTAAACTGCAGCAGAGACTGAAGACTGCCCAGCATCCCTGCTTCCTTTGAAATCAATATATATTTTTATTGATTTCAGAGAGGGAGAGGGATGTGCCCTTGACTGGAACTGATTTTGGACAGTCTGCAGGCCGATGCTCTACCCACTGAGCCAAATTGGCTAGGGCTCCATTGACTTTTACAGAGAGTGGAAGGAGGGGGGAAAGACAGAAATATCGATGTGAGAGAAGCACATCGATTGGTTGCCTCCTGCACGAGCCCTGACTAGGGCCCAGACCAGGGAGGAGAGCCTGCAACTGAGGTATGTGCCCTTGACTACAGTCGAATCCGGGACCCTTTGGTCCACAGGCCAACGCTCTATCCACTGAGCTAAACCAGCCAGGGCAGCACTTGAGATTTTTGTAGGCACATGGCCACCCACCCAGCCAATGACTCCATTTCCCAGAGTCCCCTGAGGCTGGGTGTGACCCTGTGACGGAGGAGCAGCAGGGAGACAGGAACGGCACATGGCCTGCCTCCCTCCCCACGGGACATGTGGATGGGGCCCAGCAGCCAGGCTCTGGGAGGGCGAGGGGCACAGCCAGCGCCTGCCTGTGCGGAGGAACCTGAGAAACCAAGTTTCCTGCTGGGAACACTAGTTCTGAATCTGTTACAGCAACTTGAACCCACGCGGAAACAGGCTCACAGGCTACCTGACCGCTGGAGGCCACGCACACCACCAACCGACAACCCTGAGACGCTGGGCACACGATGTGCCAACGGGTCTGGCGACACCGCTTCCTGCAGCCGTGGCCACTCGGCGTGGCCGTGGCGCAGCCTGTAGACCACGCCTTGTGGCGGTCACAAAGACGTTTTTCTCCTTAAAGGCCCACGAACTTGGTAAACCCCCAGCAGTTCAACAGGTAAGTACTGCTAACTGCTTATACACATCTACCCAGACCTCTCCTTAAAGTCAGCCACTCACCTACACACAATTTTTAAAAATAAAGACGAGCCCTGGCCGGTTTGGCTCAGTGGATAGAGCACCGGCCTGTGGACTGAAGGGTCCCAGGTTCCATTCCGGCCTAGGGCACATGCCTGGGTTGTGGGCTCGATCCCCAGTAGGGGGCGTGCAGGAGGCAGCCAATCAATGATTCACTCTCATCTTTGATGTTTCTATCTCTCTCTCCCTCTCCCTTCCTCTCTGAAATCAATAAAAAGATAATTTTATTATTTTTTTTTTAATATTTTATTGATTTTTACAGAGAGGAAGGTAGAGAGATAGAGAGTTAGAAACATCGATGAGAGAGAAACATTGATCAGCCGCCTCCCGCACATCTCCCACTGGGGATGTGCCCACAACCAAGGTACATGCCCTTGACCGGAATCGAGCCCGGGACCCTTCAGTCCGCAGGCCGATGCTCTATCCACTGAGCCAAACTGGTTTCGGCAATAAAAAGATAATTTTAAAAAGAAAGAAAGAAAAGAAAAGAGAGAAAGAGAAAGAAGGACGGGATCACACCAGGCCCACCCACCTGGGCCCTCCCACCCGTGCCCTGGCATCGAGTTCCTCCTGTAGACACCAGCTGCCTGGGACGCGTCCCTCACTGAGTCCCTCGGCAGATGAGGCGCCGGAGGAGCACGGGTCCCCGCATGCCTGGTGTCCGGAGGACGGTGTTCCCTGAGGTGCAGAGGGCGCGACTGAAAGGCGTGGGAGCACCTCTAGGCACACAGTCCCCCCTCCTCCCCGGAGCAGCTCTTCTCGGACCAGCCTGCAGCATGGGGGGGGGGCAGCCCCCCAAGGAGAGGGCAGGACAGCCTAACTGGCACTCGCCTGGGAGCTCAGTGCCGCTCCATCCCAGCCGGTGGCCAGCAGAACCATAAGGCGTTGCTCTTCACCGGCCTCACTGGTTCGGAACTGGGGGGAAGAGGGGTGCCCCTGGAACCGGAACCAGGCACAGTCCTTCGCAGCGGACCTGCACTCTCTCCAACACCCCTGCAAATCTCTCCAACACCCCTGCAAACCTGATGAGCTGCCACTGCCATCAACCTGTGCTCCTGCCACTGGTCTGCGCTTCCCTGGTTCTCACCACCATCCTTCTCACAACCACAACCACCCACGCAGCTCAGGAGGTGGCTTCCTTAAGGCCACCCCGACTACTGGTGCCGCCCCCTCCCATCCCCTCCCCACAGCCATTCAGCCGCTGCTCCCAGGCCTCTGCCCAGGACGCCAACACCCTTCTTCTTTGCTCACGCGCCCAGTGTCCTTCACCTGCCATCCTCCAGGCCCCAGGCAGCACCGCACAGGCCGGACAGCTCCCTGAACTGCATTCGGAGGCACCGCCTGTCAGGGGTCAGCTGCTCCCTGACCACCGTGCCACCTCCTCACCTCCTGCTCACACGCTGCCTGGGCCTCCTGGGCGCTGCCGACTCCCTCTCATTCCCGAGGCCGGTCCCGGAGTCAGGGGCCCATCCTGGCGCCCCGAGAGGGACTGGGGCCGCATGTAAGAAAGCAGAGCAACCCCCGCTCCAACTTCTCTGTAAGCGATGCTGGGGCTTCCGCCAGGATCAAGATCCTCTCACCCCCGCCCTGCCGGGGGCTCCGCGGGTGAGCATCGACTATGGACCGGGAGGTCACGGTTGATTCCCGGTCAGGGTCAGGGTCAGGGTCAGGGCACGTGCTGCTCGGGTTGCGGGCTGATCCCAGGGTGGGGCGTGCAGGAGGCAGCCTATCAGTGATTCTCTCTCATCATTTATGTTTCTCTCTCCCTTCCTTTCTGACATCAATAAAAACATTTAGAAAAGAAAGAAAAGACGCTCTTACAACGTTGCAGCTGTGACAGGGGCCAACGCCCAGCTCCGGGAGAGCAGCGAGTTATGCCTGGAATCGCGGGGAGGCCGGCATCTCTGGCCGCTGCTGCCGTTCACCCGCCACGGGCCTCGTGGGGGGAGAGGAGCTGCGGGGGGGGGGGGGGGGCCCCGGACCCCCCGACCGGGAAGAACCCGGTTTGGTTTGTTTTTTGGGGCGGGGGGGGGCCCCGGCACCAGGGAAAAAAGGGAAAAGGAAGTTTGGAGAGAGCCCGGAGGGCACCCTTTTCTTCCGGGGGGGGTCCAGGGCCAAAGGGGGGGGTGGCGGTCTTTCTCCCGGGGCTGGGGGCCGGGGTTGGGGTTTCCCCCGAAAAAGGGTTCCGGCCCCCCCGGTTTTTAAGAAACCGTCTGCGAGTCTCCCGGGGAGGGGAGGGGAAGGCTCCTTAGGGGCCCCCAAATTTTCTAAATATCCTCCCCCTCCTTCCCCCGGACAGACCAGCGAGGAAATAAAAGAGC